AAGGTCCGAGGTCCTCCTCACTATATTTAGGCTGAGCAAGGTATTCATCAAAAGAGAATAGGTTCCCAAAATGTCAGTACATGCAGTAGGGATAAATCTTGGTGACACTGACAGTGGCCCCTCAGTCTGCTCCAGCCATGCAGCTGTCAACCACATTCAGAGGAACTAGTTTGGTCCTATGCTTGTTCCTTCCCAGTCTGGCTGGAGTTGGTGAGCTCCCATTAGCTCAGTAGACTGTTACAGTAGTGTACCCATTACAGCCTTGAATTCTTTGCTCATATTCTCATTCCTGCCACTCTTCAACAGGACTTTGGGAGCTCAGTCGAGTGGTCCGATGTGGGTCTCTCCCTCTATTTCCATCAGTTGGTGAATGTAGGTTCTATGGTGATATTTAAGATATCCATCAGTCTGACTACAGAGCAAGTCAATATCAGGCCTCCTCTCCTCTATTGCTTAGGGTCTTAGCTAGGATCATCCTTGTGGATTCCTAGGAAATTCTCTAGATCCAGGTTTCTTGCTCCCTCTCCATAATCCCCATAGTAGCTCCCTCAATCAACATATCTCTTTTCTTGCTATCATCTCTGTCCTTCCTCCTTCTCAACTATTCCATTCCCTCAACTTCTCCTCATGACTCCCCTTCTCCCCTCCTCTTCTCCTTCCACCCTCCCTTCTCCCCCTACCCCCATACTCCCAATTTTGTCAGGCGATCTTGTCTGTTTCCAATTTACAGGTGGATCTATGTATTTTTTTCTTAGGGTTCACCTTATTACTTAGCTTCTCTAGGATCTTGAACTATAGGCTCAATATCCTTTGTTTATAGCTAGTATCCACTTATGAGTGAGTACATACCATATTCATCTTTTTGGGTCTGGGTTACCTCACTCAGGATAGTGTTTTCTATTTCCATCCATTCACATGCAAAATTCAAGCTGTCATTGTTTTTTACTGCTGAGTACTACTCTAATGTATAAATGTGCCACATGCACAAAACTCATGTCCAAATGATTAAATACCACAATATTAATCTGACTACACTGAACCTGATAGAAGAGAAAGTGGAAAGTAGTCTTGCATAGGCACAGGAGACTACTTCCTAAATATAATCCCAGTAGCACAGACACTGAGAACAATAAATAAAATGGACCTCCTGAAACTGAGAAGCTTCTGTAAAGCAAAGGATACAGTCAAGAAGACAAAAAGGCAGCCTACTGAATGGGGAAAAATCTTTACCAACCCCACATCAGACAAAGGACTGATCTCCAGAATATATAAAGAACTCAAGAAACTAGGCATCAAAATTCCAAATGAAAAATGGGGTACAGAACTAAACAAAGAATTCTCAACAGAAGAATTTCAAATGGTCAAAAGATACTTAAGGAAATCTTCAAAATCCTTAGCCATCAGGGAAATGCAAATCAAAACAACCCTGAGATACCAACATATACCTGTTAGAATGGCTAAGATCAAAAACACCGATGATAGCTGCTTGTGCTGGAGAGGATGTGGAGTAAGGGGAACACCCATTCATTGCTGGTGGGAATGCAAACTTGTACAGTACAACTACTTTGGAAATCAGTATGGTATTTTCTCAGAAAATTGGAAATCAACCTACCTCAGGATCCAGGAATACCACTCTTGGGCATATACCGAAAAGATGCCCAATCATACTACAAAGTCATTTGTTCAACTATGTTCATAGAAGCATTATTTGTAATAGCCAGAACCTGGAAACAACATAGATGCCCTTCAAATGAAAAATTGCTAAAGAAAATGTGGCACATAAACTCTTAAACATAAAGTGGGTTGAAGAAACAAATCAAAAGAAAAATTGGGAAACACCCCAAGCAAAAATAAACCCAGAATATGCTACAGTTTATGGTGCGCAACAATATAATGCTAGGAAAGGTGTTTAAAGTGGCAGAGGCTTATTTATAATTCAAACAACTCTTAAGCAACACACTTTTCATTTAGTGAACCAAGGAGAGCAGGGAGGGAGGACCCAGGGAGAGAGACAGACACACAGAGAGTCCAGTATTAGCAGCATTAATGGAGTGCTCAGAATAATACAAATGACTGAACTAAAGATCAGAAAAACTAGAAAAGTCAGCGAAACTGAAAGTTGGATACTTAAATTTGTACAAAATTTATAAACACTCCATAAACTATAAGAAAAACTGATCAGACAAAGAAAAAGAAGAAATGAAAGAAGAAATATTACAAACACGACCAATAAAGAAGATCACAAAGCACAAATCTGAACAACTGTTAGTCAAAAATTGTACAGGTTACGAGAAATTAATCTATTCTTAGGCACAGAAGACTCTGAACATGTGCAATGGTGTCATGAATCTTACAATTTTCATTCATATACTATTTATAGACAGGTGGTTTCAAGGCAAGATCAGTGACAAACAATTTTGTCAAACATTCTTCTGTCCTCGTTGTCTTACACATAGAACCTCCTTTCTGTTAGGTAAATGCTAGAAAGGAGACTTTTGAAGTCAGTGTGTATGTTTATGTTGAGCTGTGCAATTAGGCATTGTCAAAGCTGTTATTGGGATATCTCATTGAATCAACGATGGCAAATGAGAACCACAGCTTTCCTTTTTTTTAAATATTTATTTATTTACTATGTATACAATATTCTGTCTGTGTGTATTCCTGCAGGCCTCATTACAGAAGGTTGTGAGCCACCATGTGGTTGCTGGGAATTGAACTCAGGACCTTTAGAAGAGCAGGCAATGCTCTCAACTGCTGAGCCATCTCTCCAGCCCGAACCACAGCTTTTCAACACCATTGTTAACAATGCTCCTACCGTCTTGAACCCTAGCCACTTTGGTGTGTAATAGTGTCTCCTTCCATTTTAGTTTGTGTCACTTTGGTAAAGGATCATCATGAATATACATACCTTCATGTACTCTTGACTTTCTGTGTATCTTCTCATATGAAGTGACTAGAAATTTAGGGTCAATGTTTGCTATTGCTTGCCCTTTCCAATTGATTTTGAGAATTTATTGTTATGAAATTGAATCATAGGTTATTTATCTTTTGGATTACTGACAATGGAAATAAATCTGAGATTAGTGTATATAAGACATTTAAGCTATTTGAGGAAGAAATCTACATAAGAAAATGAATACCAATGTGTTTAACAGGATTAGATGTGTACTCACAGTAATAAAGGGAACGACAATGGATTACAAGTCTTAGAAATAAAAATCTGTTATAAAAATTGAAAAAGTCAGAAATTTTAATTTCTTCTTTACTATGCCATAATTTACTAATGTTTTTATACTTTAAAAACTGTCTACATTTTAATTAATCTTTTCTCTATTAACAGAGCAAATTTGTAATATTCATTTTATAAGAAATTATTAACATAATTGTATCTTTTTTCTAAGATGGCTAAGCAAAACCATTTCTTTTGTCATGAGTAACTTAGAAATGTGTCATTCAGCTTCACATGTCATTATTACTAGACTAATATGTACTTTTAAGAAGGCTGTGAATGTTGGAAAATTTTGTATCAAAATTTGTATTATGATCTTTGAGATTTCAAAGATAGTTAAGTACTTGATAAGTGAATATTCTTAAGCATTCTTTGGCTCAGTGATGAGAAGAAATACTGGTAAATTCTACTCTTTATGACTCTTTTTAAAAATAGGAAAAAGTACAATGCCTTTAAAACGAATTGTCCCACACTGTCAGATGTATTTTTGATAAGATAATACTTTTAATTGATTCATGTCAGAGATTATTGAACCTTTTGTATATAATATTACAGGTCAGAAGACCAGAAGCCTTGATGTTTTACACAGTAAATTCTTGTTTATGTTTCTTTACTCACATGGTTTAGTGCTAGATATTCGGTGTCTCCTTCGTGCCCTGGAATGTTTTGTGCCGTGTGTCTTTGCATCATGCTTCTGAGTGAAGTGTCACCACACATGGTGAATGTCTTCCTGGAAGTCATTTCCACCCACAACAGAAATGAACACAAGCATCACACAGGAGGCACTGCGAATTAATTTAGCATTTTCCACTGTACCCAAACTATAAACACATCCCTATTTTAATATTTTGCTTCAGGAGATTTTTTTTTAAAAAATGAGACCTCTTCATTGTTACCCAACCTAAGCAATCAAGACCACCTGCAATCAACCATGTTTAAGAAGAAAATCTTTTGTATTAAAAATTTTGCAAGAACAATTTTTCTGTGGGAACACATTACACAGTAAGGCCTTAAAAGTCTAGTCAAGCTCTATTCTGTCAGGTCCATCTTAAATCCATCTCTCTCATCTTATCTGTGACTTGCCTTTTTCTACCACTGCATGAACAGATACTTTACATTTTTAAATTAATTCTATTCTCTACACTTAGAAACACAGCATACTGTTTTAGGAAACATGTAAACATCATTGTGACATCTATAGATAATGTATACAATGAAACTGACATGGTCATCATTTCATATAGCTATCTATGCTTCAATTATGCATAAGAAAACCTATATATATTTATTACACAAAATTCATAAACACAATATGTGATGGGGGAGAGTCTTCTGTTTTGTATTAATTTCATTGGTTAAATAAAGAGACTGCCTTGGCCCTTTGATAGGACAGAAAATTAGGTAGGTGGAGAAGACTGAACAGAATGCTGGGAGAAAGAAGCCGAGTCAGTCAGTCGCCATGATTCTCCCATCCAGACAGACGCAGGTTAAGATGTTTCCTGGTAAGCCACCTTGTGGTGTTATACAGATTATTAGAATTGGGTTAGATCAATATGTAAAAGCTAGCCAATAAGAGGTTGGAACTAATGGGCCAGGCAGTGTTTAAAAGAATACAGTTTCCGTGTAATTATTTCAGGTAAAGCTAGCCGTGCAGGAGCCGGGGGTGGGGTGGGGTGGGGTGGGGGGTGGGAAGCGGCCCGCCGTTCATCACTACAAATATGAAACATAATATTCATGGTACACAATCTCTTGATTTGTTTGTCTTACATGTCTACCATTTGGCTATTTTTTATATGGAACCAATTTTCCTCTTCTCCCCCAGTGGGTTCACCTTTTCAGGCTCTGGCACTAGGACAGATAGTAAGACATGTGAATATTTCTTCATGGGAATGGCTATGTTTTTTATCTTGTGATTATGTGAGACAGAATAGCTTGTACACCAGGCTGGCCGCACATTCACTATGCAGACAAAACTGCCAAGCTCTTGATTCTTCTTCCTCTGCCTTCCAAGTGCCAGCACTACAGACCTGCCAGGTCCAGACATGTCACCACTTTGTATCATTTGACTAATGTCCAAATGCCCTTTAATCCTCGCTCTGCCCACTGTAGCACCCCTTTGATATCTTCCCCTAAGACATTAAATATAGGATTGGCTTGTTTGGATAAATGGAAGGTGAATAGGAGACCTCACTGAGAAATAAAACAGTATAACACCTCAAAAACTCGATTTGCAGTTGAGGATGTAGTTAAGTTCATAGAATGCTCGGCTGGATTTTGCAAAATCCAAGTTCCAATACCCAGCTCGACATAAAGTGACAGTGTAGATACACCTGCAACCCTGGCACTCAGAAAATCAGAGGGCAGAAGAGGATACAAAATTCAAGGTTATCTTCACCCACATGGTAAGTTTAAGGCCAGTCTCAGGTAAATGAGACTCTCAAACAAAAACAAAATCCAAGATGCCTATTGTCATTTTACATGCATGTGTGTGGTAGTGCATGGATGCATGTCTGTGGCACATATGTGCACGTGAGTGCACATGCAAGTGTGGAAGTATGCATATGGAGACCTGCTCCCCACTCTCAGTATCTTCCAGTTGGAGCTGGCGGGTGTCAGCTGTTCTAGCTAGCCAGGTTAGGTTTCCCTGTCTCTGCCTGCTGATTTCGGAGTTTGTAGGTGATTGTCATATCTGTTTCGTTTCTATGTGAGATCTAGGGACCCACAAGTACATACATGAATCCTGAGGAGTCCTTACATTTACAGAGTAATCCCTTCATTCGCTCAACTATTCCTGGAGCTCCCTTGTGGTCTTTCAACTCATTTTTATATTTTCAAAAATATTCCTAAAGTTAATACATGGATCCTTTTTTAAAAGCTTTTAGACAGAGTACCAAGACTCAGCTGGCAATAGAGTATCCTTGTTATAATTGTAATTCAAGAACTTCTCAGGTAAAGAGACCATCTGAAAACCACTTACCAACAACATGAATAGCATCTGGAGAGTCATATTTAAATATGAACAAGGCTAGTTAATTTTCTGAATCACCTTTGCATATTGAAGAAATTTTGTTTGCTACAAAAGATTTTGGATGCATTTCAATTGCCATTAACCAAAAAGTGTCCAAGGCATGGGTGAAAAGCAGTATTTTAGTCGCTACTTCTAAATGGTCTTGCCCTATTTCTCCACAATTAGCAGGCAGTGATACCAAATCACCCACCAAAACTAAGCAAACAATATACTAACAAAAAAAAAACATGTTAGAAATGATTTGAATATAAACATAACTATGACGATACAGCTTGGCTGGCATAGTTCTTCCCTTGCATGCTTGAGGCCCTGGGTTTGATCCCAAAGACTGAGACTACTAGAATTACCAAGTACAATAAATAAATGGACAATAAATTCCCTCACTCTGGCCTACATCTATTTATATTTTACAAAATTGTTCTCTCTCTGTGGGCTAATTAGCAATATGACTGTGCTCGCTGCTGTGGCTGCACACGCCCTAGGCCACATTTACAATGATCCCACTGAGTACTTAACTTTAATTAAGAGCATGCAGAAACTATTCTTATTCCATAATCAGGGTCCTAGCCTCTCTTTTTTCACCCTTAGTGTTGGGGGGGGGGCAGTCGTGGGCGGTGAGGCTTAAGAGGACACACATTCTGTGCAATCTTTCTCATGTTCCTCCATTTTTAATTTTTGTTAGACATCAAACATCAGTCTGTACTGAATTACATTGAGGGGGTGTGGGTTGGCAGGGGTCTACACCTCTCCTAAATACCCAAAGCTGGATCACCTCTGTCACATCTACCATGGCTGGTGTGGGATTTGACCTGACTAGGACATTGAGAGAATGAAGGAGAGGACAAACACAAATGGATAGAAAAGCTTGGACCAGTGGACTGCTATCACTGATAGAACGAACTCAGCACCCGAGAAGGTCAGCATGTTTATTACAAACAGTTGAATGGAGAGGGAGGGTTGTTACCTACAGCTAGATTAAGGACACAGCACCCTGGGGCAGAAAACTGTGGTGGATATTTTCTGCACACACTCTCAACATTCCCACTCAGATATGAGGAAGACTTTGCTATCCCTCTGAGGCTCACCTGGGAAGGGCTTTGCTCCCCTCTGTGTGGCCGAGGCATTGAGGATCCCTGACATGGCTGTGCCCATGTCAACAACACATATTCTCTTAGGAATTCACTCACTCAGGTTTCCTATGCTCCTCACATTCATCCTCTTCCATACCTGAAGCCTCTGCACAGTGTCATCCTGTAGCTAAACACATTTTAGCAATGTTTGTGCATTGGAAAGCAACATTGTCCAATGCTATTTGAAGTTTTGAAGAACTTTACCCAAACTGGAAGAACTTTACCACAGATTTTTGAATTGATGAAAGTGGGAAATCTTTTCAATAAAGTAATAAATAATAATAAAATGTTGTGCATCAAAAAATGAGTAGAAATGCTTTGGACTATGTTGTCAAATCTGCATTCTAACAGACACATTTCAGCATAGCTGGATAGACTTTGCTTCTCCATGGCAGTTAAATATAAAAAGTAATTCTACAAAAGAAATTGATAGATGCTTCCGATGAGAATTAGAAGCTCATTTCTCTCTATATGGTGGGCAAATGAGTTAGAGTTAATCCAGGTAAACAGATTAACTGTAACTCTGGTTATTTTGTTCATCCAGGATTAGCGTACTAGCCATTTTGCTGCATAAAAAATAATACCCTAAAAGTTGGGAAGGCAAAACAACAAAATAGGAAGCTAACCGAAGTACCACATGATGAGGTTTACACTATCATGTAAACGGATATAGTCCATCTCAGGTAGCACAGGGCAACAAAAGAGGGCTGGAGAGAACATTCATGCTTAACCTTCAAGTGTGAGGGCCAGAATTCAGATTCATAGAGCGCATACCAAGACCAAGGCTAGGCAGGTAGGGCAGTAGGCTGTAATTCCAACCCTGGGGAGGAAAGGTACAGGGGTTGAAGCTAGAGAGCTAGTTAAACTAGCTAGAATTTGAAAGTTTTCAGTTCAGCAAGAGATCTTGCTTCAATAAATAAAGTGGATAGAAAGTGAAGAAGACAGAAGGTTATCAGTTTGGCACCCCCACATGTGTGCACGGGTGCACACATTCCCACCTCTACCTGTGAACACGCACATGCAGATATACGAGCAAAGGAAATAAAAAGAACACATGTGGTCACCAAAAGAAGGCTCCTTGGTCTCCTGCTCATAGTCACTCTTAAATATCTGAATAAATAAGCAGAAAAAAATTGACTAAGATTTCCTGGGAAGTGTTAAATAGTAGAGCAAAGATGTCTCTCTACACTGGAGATGTTCTTTTTTTTTTTTTAATTTATTTATTTATTAAGGATTTCTGCCTCGTCCCCACAACCGCTTCCCATTTCCCTCCCCCTCCCCCGATCAAGTCCCCCCCCCTCATCTGCTCGAAGAGCAATCAGGGTTCCCTGACCTGTGGGAAGCCCAAGGACTGCCCACCTCTATCCAGGTCTCATAAGGTGAGCATTCAAACTGCCTAGGCTCCCACAAAGCCAGTACGTGCAGTAGGATCATCCTCAGGAATATTAACCTTCATCAGGCGATGAAAGGAGACAGAGACAGAGACCCACACGGGAGCACCGGACAGAAATCTCAAGGTCCAAATCAGGAGCAGAAGGAGACGGAGCACGAGCAAGGAACTCAGGACCACGAGGGGTGCACCCACACACTAAGACAATGGGGATGTTCTATTGGGATCTCACCAAGGCCAGCTGGCCTAGGTCTGAAAAAGCATGGGATAAATCCGGACTAGCTGGAGATGTTCTTGTGAGAGGAAGAGGGTAGATACTGCAGTGAGTGAGCCCTGACCGTGCTCAGGATACGATGTGAGCTGGCAGAGCTTGTGAAGCCAGTTGCCTGAGCGTGGGCGGTAGGGTTTCATCTTTCTTTTCCTGTTTCAGCGGTAATATTGTGGCAGAGCAGGGGGATCTATAACTTTTCCTGCCCTCTCGAATCCTTTCCCTAACTATCAAAGCAGCGTTCCTTTCCTTGTGGCGGCCTCCTAAGTTCTAAGGAGAGGCCTCTGCCACCACTGCCTTTCTGAACTCACATGAATGGCCTTGCCGAGCAGTCATGTGCTTGGTGGAAATGGAAAGATTTCGGCCCCAGCAGCTTGAGGCCCAAATCCACACTCATTTTCTGATAAAAGGAGACAGATGGTGCTCTGTAGAGAAAGACCCCACCCTCCAAAGGGATTTCCTGTCCCAGTCCTACCTCACCTCTTAAGATCTTATAAAAGTCCTTCATCCTCCTGCCCTCTACCAACCCAGACAAGGGTTCAAGACAGGAAATTCTCTCCTATTATTATCTTGGGGCGAGCCTTGGAGAAATTTGATTCGTTTCCCTAATTTCTGTCTTGTGGGCCATAGATCTTAAGGGTCTCAGTCACTCGCTATGGGAGAGGGTGTTACCTGCGGTGTCTTGCAGACCTGCTCCCCTGGGGTCACTACACAGGCCAGCATGGAAATTTCCCCAGGGGACCCTTGCTCTTCCTAAAACTGGAGGTGAACAGCATGTTTCCCAGACTGGAGACGGCATAAAATGTCTTTTGAAGTGAGATACATTGTTCTGGAGGCCCTGCTATCTCGTTTCATCTTCAAAACAAATTCTGAAATGTTAATAGTGGTCTCCCTTCACAGATGAGGGCATGCCCGTCTTTAAAGGACAACTTCTGAGTGAAGTTCTCTCTGCTAAGACCTTAGGAATCACATTCAGAGAAGGTGTGTCAAAGGCCAGAGCTCTGGTTGCCTCCCTGCCTTTAGGATGCCAGTGTTGCTCATAGGAATTATTCACTATTAATGCTTTTGTTCTTC